TTACGATGGAAGTAGCAATCAATAACAAACTGCCTTTCATCGGAATGGAACTCGTGAAGATGGGTAGCCAAGTTTGAACATGCGTCTACAGGAAAATAACAGATAGAGACCTTCTTCTCCATTACCAAAGCCATGTGGACAACAGGTATAAACGATCTCTTCTCAAGACTGTGCTAAATCGTGCACATAGACTCTTGTCTTCATCTGATTTTTTCGCTGCTGAATGTGATAACCTGAAAGAGATCTTTCTCAAGCTTAAGTACCCTGAGAGACTCATAAACTGTACAATCACCAGATTTATTGAGTCGCAAGACCGAGAACAAGCATTTGATATTCAAGTTAATAAGCCCGTTCGGATTATTCTTCCCTTTAAAGATCAGCGATCAGCCGACTTAGTACGAAGACAGCTCTCCGATTTTGCGAAGAAAATTAACAGCGACTTGCGCCCAGCGTTTACGAGCAAGAAAATTGCTGATGAGATCAAATTGACGGAACCCAAATCACCTCTTGTTAACGAACAATGCGTTGTTTATGAATACAAATGTGATCTGTGCGACGCACATTATGTGGGCTATACATGCCGACACCTATTTCAGCGAATTAATGAGCATAAGCATTCTGTCATTGGTAAACACCTGCGGGACGTACACAATCTGAGGAACAAAGATCTTCGTGACCAATTTACAATCCTCAAGAAACGCCGTCGGAGGCTGGATTGTTTAATTTATGAAATGCTCCTCATCAAAAACAAAAAACCAACACTTAACACTCAATCTGACTCCATTAAAGCAAAACTTTTTATTTGATAGTTCAAGCGCACCACGCTTGGTATTTTTATTCATCGATTATTTTTATCTCTTAATCATATGCACTGAGACCTTCACAGGTACATTCACTATATAATGAACTCACATATTGTATTTTATTTGAATTTGAGAATGATGGCATGGAGCCGTCGAAACGTCATTCTTTAATATCGCTGCTTTTTAGTCTTAATTGTTAATCGAAAACGTTAATTAATTAATTACTTAAGTAATTAATTAATTCGACCATTCATCGGTCAATCAACTGATTAATTATAGAATGGCAAGCTCGTATGCAAGCTAAAAGCAAAAACACAGTCACAGTCAGCCAGTAAGTGAGTCAGTCAGTGAGTCAGTCAGTCAGCCAGCCAGTCAGTCAGTCAGTGAGTCAGTCAGTCAGTCAGTCATTCAGTGAGTCAGTCAGTGAGTCAGTCAGTCAGTCAGTCAGTCAGGCATTTACTTCTCGGCAAATCAGCATATTTTATTGCTAGTGGCCTAGTCAGCCAACGTAATAACATAATGCACGTGTATGTATGTATGATCAAGAAGCCGTGTAGAACAGATAGAAGTATACTATTAAATGACAATAAAATACTAACAACATGCTTCCGGAATAACTGTCCCATCAGAATTGTCTCGTTAATAATTGTTTTTTGCAATCGTCCTTCAAATAACTAACTTGGTTGGCTAACACGACTGTAAGTACAGAATCGAAACACAAAAACGTGTTATGAAAACGTGATATTGTTATAAATGACTTTCCTCCTTCCTTTGAATTAACTTTTTCCACTTGCAGATTCCTCGATCTTCAAAGTTCCAATTGAACACTCAATCATTCCAGACATTTCTCTACAAGGTTTGTATTAAAGGCAAAGAGTATTTTACAGTAGATCTCGCCGATATTGCTTGTTTTAAAAGATCGAAAGAAAGCTTTTATAGTGACCATTTACTAGTGTTTTTACATCAGTTCGAAAAAAACCCAGTTTGAAATTTTCTGTGCATTTCCAGGAAGTCACGCTAGTGGCCAGTCTGTAACGTTTAGGTAGTAGTGATATTGAATTCTTTTTTCCCCCTTTTTTGTTTTTAAGCTGTACCAGAAGTATCCAGACCGCCCTGTCTTTGTGAAAGTCTACACTACCAAGGCACCCGTTTTCACTTCACGTCACAGCGGAACCAACGTGACAGTCACTGGTAATGTGGAGGTTTACGTCACCACTAGGAATGGAGCTCCCGTTTACGCTCTGACAGTGGGTTTGGTAAGCTTTGCTATACATCGGAAACTGCTGGTTACAAAACTTAGAATTCAAAGATTCCTGGTTGATTTTTTAAGCAAGAGACGTCTTCAGAACCTTGATTATAGATTTTGCTAATTACTAAATGGTATGTTGTATTTAAATTTCGTCAACATAATAGTCAACAGCAACAAGTAAGCAATAACGAAGCGCGCGAAGTCTAAAAATAGAATGCAAATTATTGGAACCCCGCGAGAGTCAGACAACATAAGCGTGTTCTGAGAGAAATAGGAGGAAAATTAACGCCAAATTTTTGTTTTAAAACTTGTTTTAGGAACACTTGCTTACGCGCTTGAAAAAGTGTCAAATCTTCCACCATTCCGTTTTGTTTGTCTGAGTTTGTCTGGGTTATGACGTCACTCGCGCGCTTCGCTATTCGAGAGTTTCCATTGGCTTAGCCATCATAGTATATTAGCAATTATACCATGCTCTACAAATATGGTAAGCGTACGTGTGATTTTTTGGGGCGTTTCTATTTTTTTTTTTCTAGTTTTCTATATTTTGGGAGCGTTTTTAATGAAACAATAGGCCCTTTGCAGCTTAGCCATTATGTGACCTATTTTTCATAAAATTATGGGCTATAACTTAACGAATGCCAGAAATGGAAAAAGCATGTCGAAAATATCAGAATAGCCAAGTTTGAGGCCCCCATCATTAAAGAAGGAGATTTCATGACGGTCTGAATTTTTAAAAGAATAAGAAGATTTGTATGGAAAAAATTGCTGGAGAGTAAGACCTTGCTCTCCAGCAACGTTTTACATACAAATCCTCTAAATTTTCCGAAAATTCAAACTGTCATATAAACTTACTCTTTAATTCCACGTGACTCAAACTTGGCCATTTTGGTATTTGCGATGCGCTCTAGCCATTTCTGGCATTCTTTAAGTTATAGCCCATAATATAATAATTTTCTAGGAAAAATTTGGTCACATGACCCCAGCTGCAAAGGGCCGCAAAATTGCAAAATTTTTGCAACTGCAAAATTGGCCGCGCACTTGTCTTATGGAGGTAATTAGAGCCAACTCGGTGCTACGCACCTTATTTGCTATCAATCATGTCATATCCTACGCGCGCTCGTGGAATAATTGTTAAATATCCCCCGGTATTTTGCTTCATCATGTGTTGAGTTTCCCTTTCGACGAAAGGTAGAGTTATTTTATAGTTCACCTCTGTTTCTACAGAAAGCTGATCTTGCTGGATCACTGGGTGTGAATAGTGGCAACCTGACATTCCATACAAAGACATTCACGTAAGATACGCCAACTAAAAAATACTCGTAACTTGATAATACCGAGCACACAGTATTAAGTTCAGTTTCATATCCAGAGTGAAAACATTTCTTTTCCCAAAATAATGTGCTAGGGTTTCATACTCAAAAATGTTTTCTTCTCATTTCCTTACATAACTCATTTTCCAATGCCTATATAATCGTAATCAGTCAGTACCTCGGAAGAAGAAAAAGTTCGCACACTACGATTCGAACCTGCGACCTTCAGATTACCGCATCTGAAAAATTTTATTCCCCGATTCTTAGCAGTTCTCCAATCTGCTCTCAGTCAACCACTGATTGATTGAAGACTCCCCTGACTCAAAGGTTCGAACGGCCTGCTTCAGTTTCAGACTGCAGCGTTTTTCTGCTGGAAATCACTCAATTTGCTTACAAAATGACTTGTTGTACTTTACTGCTGGAAATAAATCAGTTTGGTCACCAAATGACTTGGCCATATTCTCTATTCATGGATATCACGAGTTGGCTTAAAAAGACTTCTGATTGAAATTGATAACATAATTTATAACAAAATGAAACAAAAAAGAATGATTATTACTGTTGTTTTCTCATTCTAGGACGAAAGTACATCTTGTACGTTCTGCCATTGGAGATATCAAGGTATGTCTTGTATTCGGCCAATTTTGCGAGTGAAATATTCAATTAATATTTGTACTTATGAACTCCATGTTTTCAACAGTTTAATATTGGATTACTTCAGTGGTTTCTCAATGGCGTCGTAGAATCTGGAGATTTTGTGAAGAAGTTAAATGGTATGTAAAACACCTGGTGTTTTGTATTAAGACTGCAAGACAGGCGGTTAATCGGAGCAGGGCGCGGGACCAGTAATAACCTCTTTCTCGCGCTCCGCGCTGTCCCTCCCGCTTCGCGCCCATGTATCACGTTCGTGTTTTGCCCTAATAACACTTTTTTTTTTGTAGGCTATGTTGTTTCAGCTATATGTTCCAATAAAAGGGTTATACCAACACTTCCGGCAGTTGCAAAGCTTTTAAACGGCTGTGGTTATAAAGTGTACAAACTTTAAACTAACATAATTGTTATCTTGTGCATAAGAGTCCTGAACTCTGCTCTATGGAGTGTGAGTGTGTTTTGCCTTTTCGGAAATTTTCAGTGACGAATGGAACAGCATTTTCCACAATTTCCGGAAAAGAGCACAACCTCGCGATCTATATCCAAATTTTTCAATATTTCTTACAGGAAATTTAACTTTTCGAAAATTTAACGATTTTCCGATATTCCGGAAACTTTCCAAGGAAATTTAAGTTCTATTTGCCTCCGTCTCAAAAGTTCCGGAAGTGTTGGTTGAAAGGAAAGCGCCTAAAAGTTTGCTAAAAAGTAGGGACTCTTACATATCATAAGCCCATGAAAAACAACGCGCACGCTTGTAATTTTCTGCCATTGTTACCTGCCTTCTGGTTATTAGGGTCTGTATCTGTAACTTTTCCAGATGTGGAAGGAACCTAGAAGAGTTATGACATCGCTCAAATATGGACAATTCGTTGATAATCCTGTTCAAAAAGCTCTAGGGTGAATATCGTCATCGTCTTGTAAAAATTCTTTTCTGGGAGGACTACTTAATTATCGCAGCATTTATCAATACCGCGCATGTCCTGGATGTTCCATAGAACGTCGTCTGCCTGGTAGTTTTCTCTTTGGAATTTTCACTTTTATTTCAAAACAACTTATTCACTTCTAACTTATGAAACTAAAGCCAGCTCCTCTCTTGTCCAAGTGTGTGTAAACTTATTTTAACTTTCTCCTTGAAGTGATTGGAGAGAGAGGATTTCCCTTACCAATGTTTCGGAGGATATTGTGGGAGGACATTGCCATACGCACCGGACAGGTAACCTTCAGTCCATTGTTTGCTGTTTAAATCATTGTATGAATTATTGCTACTGTTATTGTTAAGCATATATGCACCTGGCAGGTGTTTGATAATTTGGTTCATGATATGATCTGGTCCTGCCCAAGTGGAATATGATATATAAAGGTTACGAGTAGTTGGGAATAAATAAATGCAGAGGAACTGAGCAGACGCGTTTCATAATGTGTCTGCCGTTTCATTTCTCGCTAACAGGCATTCAGTCTATCTCCGTCGCTCAAAGCTGTCCGGCAGTAGTATTTTTTCAGCCTGTGTTTATTTTCTTTTGGTCGGTTTGTGCATGAATTTCATAGAAACCCTTGCATACTGAATGGTCAAATAGCACTACTCCTTTACAACATTTGTTTTAATTTTATTTTACAGGGTTACACCCATATTGAGACGAACCTCAAGTACCTGCCAAAAGCTGGCGACGAGTGAGATGAAAACAAGAAATGACGTGGAATTAAATTAAGACTGATTTCTTAAAATATGTCGTAAACTTCTTTTATATTTGTGTTACCTCTAACAACCTAAAGCGAATGTTGCTTTTAATTTTTCAAACTTTCCACGGCGACTGCAGCCTAGTCCATCGTCTAAACTATCCATCGTCAAAGCTCTTCAAGTAGTACGTTTACCGTTTTCTCGATCTTAGCCAGAGCCTTTCACTGTGTAATTTCTCTTTCAGCTCACAGCCACCTCTTGGGTAATGAGAGTAATGGAATGTTCCTTTCTTAAAATTAATCAGTTAATATACCTTTGTTCTATAGGGTAGCTAGAAGACTTACGTCTTTAAACTGCTCTAATATATATATATCAAATCAATGGTTGTTGGTGTCCAATTTTCCAACAAAATCAGTAGCAATGGTTGATGTTGATGTTAGAAATTCAGCAATAGACTTAATCTTTTTGGTAACATTTTTCTTTTCAAGTCAGTGTATTTTTGAAATAAAATAAAGCTTGTCACGCAACTGAACACAGACATGGGAATATATGTAAATAATAGCACATATTTATACTGGCACATCCACGTGATGGGTGTTTACCGCCTGATTCCAGTTCGAGCTAGAATAGGCCCTTTGCACGATCCGGTCACATGGTACGGAATAAATTATGCTGGGACGCAAGCTACACAGTGGGACTTCTAAAACAAAGGAGAGTCGGGCTGGACTGGTACGAGTTCCTTTGTTTTGGAAGTCCCACTGTGTAACTTGCGTCCCAGCATAATTTATTCCGTACCATGTGACCGGATCGTGCAAAGGGCCTATTTTAAGTGTTGATTTTTGTAGAGGGAGGAAACCGGCGAACCCAGAGAAAAAATTCTAATTAAAATTTTTAATCATTCCTAGAGTGGTAATTTGTTATAGGGTGTAAGCGACAATTTTTTTCCTCTGGAATCATTGCGAAACGGAAACAGAATAAGTTTCGCTGTTGAGTTTTGAACATTTTATGACGTCATTTGTATTGCCCATTCAAAAGATTGATTAGATTTCCCATGCCTACACTCTTGCTGACCGCGGGAATGTCGTCGTCATATTGAAAGGTTCAAAACTTAAGTGGAAGCACAAGCCGCAGGCGAATAGTTTAACTCCAAAGCTTTGGACATTTCAATGTGTTACCGGTTTCTTCATATTCAGGTTAAATTCTCTCATCGACCCTAGTTCTTGACTGCTAGTTATTGTAAAAGAGTCTGAAAAGCTGACATTTCTAATGTTATATCCCTTCGTCAGAGCCATGCTTGTAAGGGCTACACGTGCAGATACTTCCTTATGAAGTTAAGATAATACCTGGCCCGGTAAAATCAATTAAGGAGACGAATTTGAAAAATACGTTTGTCATGTCGGAATCGTGACTTTGCTACAATGCATCTGTTCTAAATCTGGTCCATGTATTTGACTGCGCCGGTTAAACGCGATTATGAAAAGCAACTTCGTTCATTATCACTTAGTGGTTTTCTGGAATTTATTCCTTCAGTGCTGTTTACGTTTACAAGGCTTGCTGAATGTAAAGGAAAAGAAAGACCATGTTAAATGGCATGAAACTATATTTAAGGAAGTGTGGCCTCATGTTTGCACTTTTCGGTTCCCTTGGCATCATTGATATAATTTACGAAGTCAACGGCCGTTTTCGAAAATTGACCTTCTTCAGTGGATCAGAGCATCCGGGTTTCGCTGGAAACAAACTGATGGCTGGTCCTCCAAAACCGTTGACCCCAGTAAGAAGGAAGCCCTGCAGCTCTGTCATCTGCACTTCAGACATGAGGACTTTTGTTTTGCCCTGAAGATTATTTCCGATCACAGCAAAGGCTCCTAATGCACCCGTGGAAGGACTGATGCAACAGCCGGCTGTCCACATAGATTTAGGAATACCTATTGCGTCGCTGGAGGGTTTAAGCAATTTAAGTGTTCCTTGGATCGCTTCAAGCCCGCTCGGTCCACTTTGAATGCTAGCCTCTGAGATGCCAGTGATTAAGTACAAGTCCCCACCTTTCGGACTACACGTGCTTGTGGCATATTCCCTTGTCCTTTTTTCATACTGAACCCACTGGCCGCTGTTAAATACTCCAATCTGTGGAACGGCGTTAGTGTAGGTGAACGTTGAAAGCATGTGGGCATCAGAGAATGAGTAGGTCTCTGCTGGAAGCAGATGACCCATGGCGTACATCTTTTGACCTGCGTGGGCTTGGTCGCCTGCTTGCTTCTTAATCCCTTTTATGGAAATTAACAAAACAAATTGCCAATTAATAATACTTGAGGTCTGATGGTTGACAAATATATCATTAGATTAAAAATCTATAACGCAAACAAAGGCTTCAAAAAGTTAATCAGACTCCCATCCATGCAAACTCGAAGAATCCAAAACATGCTATTCACAATAAACAATTGTATTTCGGGCAAAGCTCCCCACGCAAGTAGAGATCTTGTCACCTTACGCTCATCCATGACTATATCCTTTCTTTGCCGAAAAATAACACGACTAAATATGGTCTCAAATTATGGAGAAATTTTGACGCAAAGAAATGGAACGAGCTAACAAATGGTATTAGAACTGAAGTAGGCACTAATGAAGTGAACAACAAAATTCGATCGCTTAAGTTTGACTGATATCGGAATTTATTGTCCTTTTAGTTCTCTGCGTTTATAGTTTTATACATATGGGTTATTGACCAAGCGTGAGGTCAAGTTGGCTGGATATTGGCCAAGTTCTTTTTTTGCGAGTTTATGGACCTCGACTTCGTCTCGATCCATAAACTCGCAAAAAAAGAACGAGGCCAATATCCAGCCATCTTGACCGAACAAGCTTGGTCAATAAAGGATTTATTATATGGCTTTCACGGAAAATTTTCTTGCGGGTCACGGCGAGTAATCACGAGCGGGCAAGATAGCTCCATCTTGCCCGTTCGGGTAGCCAATAACAGTGCAGAATTTGAGTCATCTTGCCCGCTCACGGAGCTAGCCATGTAATAACATCAATTATTGTACATTTTGAGTTATAATTTTTAGAATATACTAGGGCCGTGGATTACCCGTAGACTAGCTGATTAGCTAACCGTACACTCCGCGTTAAATAAAGTATCGTATCGCATACGCTTTGCTTCCACCTACTTCCACGGGATATCGCACATTTAATTTTCAATGCGCTGTTTGATGTTTAAAAAAAAGTGGTAAAATAATCCTCAATAAAAAGCGTTAGACTGAAAAGTCTAAGGAGATATGTCCAGTTTAACAATCATGCAATAATATTTTAAGACAGGATCTTTTGGGAGGCAAACATTTTCTTTAGGTAGGTCAAAGTAGTTTACCATCTTCCTGTCGCCAGTTGTCGACGCCGACTCTCTGTGCAGTACCAAACTGGCTCACTTATGCTTGCCGTACGACGTAAGCAGAGTAGATTGGTATTCCATAGTCATCATCGAACATGGTTGAGTAGAAGTAATCCGCAGTATCATTAGGAACTTGTTGACAGATATATCTGATATTCTTGTGGTCTTTTCGGAAGCCTGATGGAGGCTGCGTGCTAGCGAAGAAGTGTTTGTAGCAATCCGTGACGTTTGTTGAAACCACCGATCTACGATGTCTGACCAGTTGGTTTACGTCTTGAACATCCACAGCATCATTCTTGTTCAAGCCATCGTCTTCTATTTTTCAAAGACGTTACGTAATTTGGGAATTAAAATGAGTGAAAATGAGCCAGGACGGGAAAAAGAAGAAAAATTTGCTTACTTTCTTTCGGTAAAATGTATTTGGTTGAAACTGTATTTGTATTAATAGGCACTGAAGAGATTTCTCCAAAAATGAAAGACTTAAGATGTTTTACAGTATGTTAGTGTTTCCTCGTAAGATATTTTCAAAATCCTATTGGAAATACTTGAAGTAAATTCTTAAACAGATGGCTAACCAAGACGTAATAAGAAATCGATGCTCACCGTTTATGTCAATGTTCTGATAAACCAGTTTGGCTTGCGTGTTAGTCTTCGAAACAACCAAAATAAACAATAAGAGAAGAGACATGTTGAGGAAAGAAATCTTGATGTTTATGCGAGACGGAAAAAACCTCTGTCGAGTTTCATTTCGTATGTCTGATTGCTTAAAAAGAAAGTAAAATCAATGATTGGCTCAACAACTTAGAATTTAATCATGCGTTTAAATGCCACCAGAACGTAAATGAAGAAAACTGACATCTAACGGTGTGACTGCATTTTTTCAATAACAGAATGATAACCGGTTATGATCATGTGATTTTAACCGACCAGAATTTTGCCCTTTATGTGAAACTGAGGGCGTAACATCTTGTATTATAACATAACTAAAGCAAAGCGCGCGCTCTGATTGGTTAATATAGCATCTACTATTTGCCCATGGATGTACGTTGCTGACGTGTGTGCTAATGTTTACAAAGCAAATCTTT